CCTAAATTCTCAACAATCAAAGCTGTAAAACAGCCAAAATCTGAACAACATCAAAATCTAGACTATCTAGATTAGATAACACCACTCTAGACACTTGACGATTTGACAGTGGGACACGCCTCAAAGTCTGGCGTGTGGGTTCCCGGGAAGTCCGTGGGCATAGGCTTTGGCTGAGGGAATTGCCCACAGTTCATAGTGGTATGGGTTACCGGGGGAAGCCTGGAAGCGAGAGAAATATCACGGCAAATCCGCGTTATTAGAGAAAACAGTAAACAAACAAGCATCAACACCTACGCTGATGTTAACATTGTTGAAAGTTTTCTTTCCATAGAAGCCTCGCAATGCCTCCGAGCGGACCGGAAGTACCCCGCACTTTGAAGTAACATTTGTAAAGTGGCCAAAACGGCGGCTGTAACACAGTGAATCAATATATTTGACCATCACAACCCGAGCGAATGACTCGTTTTGCTATCAGAATGTGATCCATTTGGTCGGTAACATTTGAAAAGGCTACACCAGCCGCACGTATACAATTTTACCCCCATTTACGTTAGCCTGCTCGGCCAGCAAAAGTCAACACAGTGGACGCTGTAGCGCTGCTGCCGACTAGCGTTTGGGGGTTTAATTTGCAGAATGACGGACACACCTACGCACAAGTATAAATGCATGGCTACATGCGTAGCCTACGGCGTAGGTACGCACGTAGACCCAACGCAGGAGTATAAATGGGCCTTTAGGGTTTAGGGGGGACATTGGGATTGGGCCTTAAAGTGACAGTGCCATTAAATACAAAGGACAGAAATCGCTGCAGTAATCCCACCAGCAACTACATAACATTATAACCCACATAACACTATTTATATCTACACCCCTGGTTCACCTGGCGACTGTTGCGTTTCAGATTTTGAGAAAGGAAAGGCTGGGTCCAAATCAAAATTAACAAAAAGATTTAATTACAAAAAATTGAATAAAGAGATGTTATTAGAGAACAAACACAAACACTGCAGTGGACTGAAAAGTTGGTCCTCCTTTGAGATTTACAGCTTTCAGCCATTCCATTCTCACAAAATGAGTTTTTTATATCCTCCAGGTATGTGGGCGCCTCCATATTCACTGGTCGATTGGTTGGTTTCTTCGTCACCCAATTAGGAAGGGTGTACCATTAATGTATTCATAACTTTTGGTCAGACAAAAGAGCGCCGATCCCAGACGTGAAACCCTCCTTCAATCTACAGGAATAAACAGTCTCTGCCCAGAAACTAATCATAGAGAACTTGTCTACAAAATGGTTGACACCCTATCGTGTCAATGAAACAGTTAAAACAAAAGAGTCCTTCTGGCACTAAATAAAGAGGTGTCAGTTTTTTTCACATTACAAAGAGGATACAAACAATGGTTTGATCAGCATTCTGATGCAATTCAGCAGGATACATTTTTAGAAGACAGAGGACACTGAAATACTTTTGGTAAGAAATATCAGCTTTGTTGTAACTTTTCAAACTCTGCACTACATATGTATTTTAACTGAAATTGTTATATCCATTAATAAGATCATAAGGCTAAAATAAACACCTTTTCCAAATGAACTATGCTGCGCACCACATGAATGTCATTACGACATGATTGATTGATGAGGGCAGATTTGCGGTCTCTCCTTGAGCAGTAGTCTTTGTTTGGTTTATTTCAGGCTTTTGAAACTTAAACTTTGTTGCAGTATCACACGCATCTGGGGCAAGTAGTGGGCTGCTGTGTGTGAGAGAAAGTGTTGACCACATAATGATCAATGAAGTCTCTGTCTGTCCAGGCTTCTATTACCATATTTATTTATTTACTAATCTCTGTTGGTAACATTCGTTATACACCCACAACACTCAAATTGTAGTTCAGTTCCCACAGTTGTCATTTTTTCCTATTAAATTCAGCTGATAGCAGTAGACTGGAAGAGAGGCTAAGTTACACTCTTAATCAACGACGGTGTTTTTTTGTGACTGGATGTGGTTAGCTGTATGGACGGAGTTAACATCCTATTTTGACAGAATAAATAAATAGTGCCTGTAAAAAAAGATACTGTTACTAGTTGAATGATTGAAGCGATATACAGTGGGCTTTGTTGCTACACTGGCATGTGAAGTGCTAAGTAGGCCTAGACAGCTCAAATCAATATGCTATATTTAAGGAATTAGCCTGCTAGTTTCCTGTTATAATGTTGACTAAATAATTAAATCTGAATCAATGACAAAATCCCTTCCCCTATAAGTGTCTACATGATTTAAAATCATAATTTGTGAATACGTTTCCTGTCAAATTGCATGCTTTTATTTTGTATTTTTTGCTTGTATTTCCTGTCCTGACCGGCCTGACAGTTGAGGTGGCCTGACAGAGGAGGTCTGCAGTGGAAGTGGCCTGCCAGTGGAGGTCTGAAGTTGGACCCCCTTGAATAAAGTTGTTGTTGATGTGCCATTTAATATGGAGTATTGTTTACAAGTTCTACCTAAACACAAGTCCACATCTGCAGACTTACATTATGCAATAAATATATACATCAGCCACTCAGCACCTTCTTAATACTGGGTTGAACCTCCCTTTGCCTTCAGAGCTGCTGTAACTCTTCGTGGCAAACTTTCAACAAGGTGTTGGAAACATTCCTCAGAGACTTTTGTCCATATTGACAAACATTCTAGCCTCTGAAAGGGTTTATTGAGCCAGGGAATCATTATATTCCAAAAAATTGTATTCTTCAGTTTATTGTGTGATGTGATGTTTGTGAATTATAGGTATGTAAAAACATCATGGCACAATGTTGCTTGTTGTTTAGGTTACGCGAGTTACACAAGTTACACAAGTTACACATATAATCCAGATTTTGTCAATGATTTTTGAATGTGGACTGTGTGAAGGTGTACTACTATACAGTAAGTAGCTAGATATCTTTGCCTTATTTATAATTTATATATATGTTTATGTGTGTGTGTGTTTGTGTGTGCTTTAAACATACAACTACAGCATCATTTTGTTGAAAGTGTTGTGACGAGGACAGATTTTTTCCCCTCATTTTCACTAAGTGCCAAGGATGCCACAACAAAAATGCAATTTGTCATGATTCCATGATTCATTTCTGACAGCAAAAAGCTGTCAGGAAGCTGTAATTACTTAATTATACTACTTTTTTATTTTGTAATTTAGTGGCATTTATCTGTGTCACAGTTTCACAACAATCAATTTTCTATAATGTACAAGCTTTGCTCTCTGGGCCCAGCTCACAGTGGTAGCAAGCAAAGCAAGGTAGTCCAGACAGCAGTGCTTTAGCTTTAGCTATGTCTCTACCTTCCAAAAGGCCCTGAATGACATGCAAAAATTATATAATTAACTCACTTTTAAAATAAACTAGGCCTACTTATTTCACTCATTGTGTAGAGTCATGGACACAGGAAGAAGGGGTGCTGAGGGGGTTTCAACACCCCTTCTTCCTGTGTCCAGGTATTTATATGACAAATTTCATTTTGTCATTTTATATATAAATATAAGCACAGATCGTATCAGCAACAGCAGTGATAGACATGTCACTTCACTGCTGTTGCTGATACGATCTGTGCTTATATTTATATATAAAATGACAAAATGAAATTTTCTGTTCTCTTTTTTCTTTATTCTAATCAGGAGCTTGAAGTTAGAAGATGAGAAGTGGAAAAAAAGAATCTCCCAGAAATATGGAAAAATCCACCAACATTATTCAATTAACTCAAGCATGCATTTGAGTAAATATGCATAATTTAAAGCAGCAGTAATACATTTTTGGCCACAGGGGAGGCAGAGGAAATCCAAAAGAAGCGTGTTCACACACAATTGAAGTAGACACAGAGCAACACTGTTGTCCCATGCCATGTCTTTGCAACTTTAAAAGTCAAATGTAATAAAATTACTTGGATCAAATGTATATTTTCCTGTTTTTTCAGATAAAGGAAACCAGAAGAGGTCTGCTGTCCATTGCTGTCTGTTGTTAATTATCATTCCTTCATGATCACTTGTTTTGTCAACACACACGTTGATGTGGAGAAAATAACCTTTTTATTTGTTAAACTCCTATTCTTTATTCAACTTCCACTGGCATGTGATATTAGAGGCAGTGGGTTTGGTTTTCTCAGGTGATAATTATAGCCAGTAGTGACACTGTTTGCTGTCTTGTGTGATGATAATAAAGTTAAAAAAGGATTTTAATCATAATATGGAGAGAAGTTTTACATAATAAAAAAAAACATAATAATAAATAAATTAACTTACACCCATCACTTTCTGTTGTCTGAACAGATGTATCAGTAATGTAAACATTTTTCTTTGTACATTCAACTTTTATTTGTGCTCAGTCTGATTTGATTGTGTCATTATTGCCGAATTGGCAATGCGTTTGTTCTCCACAGAGGGGATAATGTTCTAATCTTCTTCATTTTGTATACTTTTTAGTGAGGGCTATACGTAAGTTGCATGAAAGTGTAACAGTCTGAGATTTTTTGACTACCTTTAGCTGGAGCAAAATCTAGAGCACTCTCAGTATCATTCAGTGATGTCAGCCAGATGGTGGCGCTTTAAGACTGATTAAGAGTGGCTGAAGTCACTCAAGGATGGGGAAACATGTAGTGAATATGTATTTTTATTCCTTTTTTTTTTGAAAGGTGGGGATTTATTCTCATCAAAATCCACTAATTAATGGGATTAATATTTCACTTTTTAACAGTATACCTCCAGAGAGTGTTATTTTTCACCCACCTACTGTAGCTCCTGCCATCAGTTTATTTTGTATCATAATAGAAAGCAGAACTACAGTAGTTAAATGTTAAGTGTAAATTTGTTCTATAAAGTGACAGTGACAGCTGTTGGTTGAAAAATAAAGAATGGCTAAAATATTAGGTAAACAGATGCATTGTTTTGTTTTGTTTTGTTTGCCATCATTTTGGAAATTGCTAATTTCACTTCTGTTGTTTGATTTGGGTGACGTGGACACAAAATTTGTACAAAATGTATTCTTTATACTTAGTACATCACAGAGATGAAACCTGAAACAAAATTAATCAAACTGAAACACAGATGATGAATACCTACGTTTACAATTACAACTTTTAACATGATAACATCTATAAATAGTTTTATTGTGTGTTTGTGATTGAAGGAAGTTCCCAGCGATTGATTAACTGACTGATTAATATAAACTGATTGATCCATTGATCAGCGGTAGTTGATCAATGGATCTTATACTGTTCCTGTTTAATCTCATCCAGAGAGATCCAATCAAGTGTTTCTTTGATGAGAGACAAGGTCAGGCCTTGAGTCTACCCTGCAGGACTCTTTAAAAAAGAGGAGATGACCACTTTTCATTTAATGTGCAACTTTGAACTTCAGCAGATGAACCAGCAGCATTAGAGGGACATCACTGTGACCTGTAACCAGGTAAGAAACTACGTGTGTGCATTCTGCAGTTTATGTGTAAAGTTAATGTGTAATTACAAACAGACATTCATTTGGTGCATTTAATTTTTTGATTCACAGATTTGCTCATCGCATATCCCAAAACTCCAATTCAAGCACATTTCCTGTCATGGGTAACTCGGCATCCGCTGGCTTCAATACTCCTACTCCCAGGAAACTGTCCTGGGGGCGCCAAAAAGAGGACACAGTCAAACTGGAGGACTTCTTGACACAACATGAAGAGGGTCTCTGGAGACTGAAAGGAAAGCAGAGTTTTTCTGTGAAAAAGGTCCACCTCATTCGCAGCGTCCATTACGTTGCCCTATCTGCCCAAGACAGTGACAGTTTTTATCCAAACAGAGGCGAAATGATGAACCCCGCTTTTGTTGGAGATCAGTCTCGATGAATGACTGAATTCACTGTGGATTAAATCTACACAACATACTCAGCATAAGATCCTCTCAGTTGTGTTTAAAGAGGTAACTGCAAACAGCCCCTGTGACAGCAACATGAGAGGTTGTAGAAGGTCTCTGCTAAAACAACTTTCTCTCACCACAGGGGTGTGAACAAATGAACAGGAAGGAAGGGGTCTGTTTACAAGGAAATACTTATGTCCTTTTTTTGTGAAATGGAAACAAAAGTGAAACTGTTTTTATTTTATTTTTATTTACTATTTTTATGCATTGGTGTGAGCTACTCAAACATATAAAAATGTCTTTTATATTTTCCATTTGAGAAATAATGTTCAGATATCAATGATATGAGCTGAGTTCACACCTCATCACATGACCTCAGCAGCTGTAGGCATCAACCGAATGAAGGAATTCCTGTCTTCACATCTCTTCTTCTTCTGTGAATCACACATTGCAAGGTACAGTTAATGCAGTTTTCCTGGTAAAGAATGATTTTAATATCTTAAAAAATTTAATTTCCTCAGTAACTGAACTTCTCAAATAAGAATTGGTTGTGATAACTGTATTTGCATTATTACATGACCAAAGTAAATCCTAACGAGGGATCATTTGCAACTTCTATGGACTTTTCAATGAGCTTGCATGTCATTGCTTTCAATCAGCACTTGCTGTTCAGGAAAATGTTTCATCTTTGTTTTACATGGATTGTAAATAATTGTATTACATCCTAGCACATTGTTGTCAGTGACGCAGAAAATACAGTTTGTAACTAAGATGTAAGCAGTCTTGTTGGGCAAATACATTCAGCCTTCCACCTAATTCTGTTTTGGCCTCTTTATTTTAGAGCAAAAAATATTTCCTTTTACCTACAGGTTTGTGGTCTTCTCTGACAGATGGTCTCTGCTTTTTCCTGTTGCCTTTGTTCAGTTGAAAGAACAAACAAATTCACATTCAGCTTGTGCAAATAATCAACTATGACAGATTAGTATTATAGTAACACCAAAATATTCTAATTTTAAAAAGTGATATTGCCACTATCGAGTGCATAATCCAGCCATTTTACATCATCAGTGTTTCAATCATCAGTGCTTCCTTTATTAAAGTAACTTTTCTCATTGAACTCCGTAGAGTGGGCTCGCGCTAATAGATGGCCCATTAACAGTGTTTAAAGTACTTACAACAAGTCAATGGGGCTATAATGCTTTATGTTATCTGATTATCAATTAATTAATATGAGTTAACAATTAAAAGACCAGAGTGAGGTTTTTAGTTCCCCATTTAATGTGTTTTACTGGGGTTGTTGAGTCTTGGTTTCATGAAATTCATGAAACATGCCTTAAAGTAATAAAAATGGAGAAGTCACGATCACTAAAATAAATTGAATCCCTGAATAGCCAAAGAAGGAAGTGAGAGATGGTACAGATCGTGATAAAGCCCAGGGCAGTGATCTCAGATGCAGAACTGGGTTGAAATTAAAAGCAAAACAATTATAACATTTGAGTAGATACTTTTTCATGGGATTGGTTCATGAGAGTAAAAATTGAAAAATATACAGTTTATGTGAGAGTAGTTTGGACATGGTTTAGAAAATAGGAATAAAAAATTATGATTTATGATGATTAATACAATAGACTTCCCCAACATGCATGATGGGACAAAAGTCAGATTTTGTGTGTAACACGGTGGATGTGTAGTGTATTAAAAGTGGAATGGAAACTAGACATCTCTCACCAGAGGGAAATGACAGATGCACTGCCTAAGCTTGGAAATATTTGTCACATTATTTGCAGGTCTGACCCCGAGTGGATGAAATGGAGTCTTTAAAATGGCTTCTGGTTTTTGTGTTTCTGTCCTTCAAAGGTATGTTACATTCTCTACACTGTACATCCAACTATACCATTTTACTGCTCGCAAGAAGAACATTTAAACAGTCAGCTTTTTGTATTTTTGTTGCTGTTAAATTTTCTGGTGAATTTATAATTTATTCTCTAAAAGAAGATTATCAGTCCGCCTCTGCTTTGTCTATTTTATTTCATCACATTTTCCTCTGCATTTGATTACAGTTATTCAAACTGAAACCTCATCTTGGACCATTAAGGTACCATCCTCTGTTAAAGGTCTCCTTGGATCTTGTGTGGTGATTCCCTGCTCATTTAACTACCCAGATCCAGGGAAGACTGTCAGTGCATTCACTGGGATGTGGACCGACGCATCAAATCACCTCATCTGTCACACTGATGTGTCTAAAATAATGCAGCAGTATCGGAATAGGATAAATCTGGTGGGAGACGTCCGACAGAAGAACTGTTCACTGAAGATTGATCCCCTTCAACAAAGTGACCTTCAACAAGGGCCTTTTCATTTCAGGATTGAAATAGAAGGCTATGATAAATATTCTTGGAAAGAGCACACAGTCTCCATTACAATGAGTAAGTAATATTAGCAACTTTCACCAGACAGTTAATGCCTGCATTATAAGTCCTGACACCAGTCATTTGTGCTGATCAGCATTTAATGAACACGGATTCAGGAAAATTATAAATTGGTTCCTTTCATTATATTATTGACTTATTTTTTCTACTTGCTATATTGTGTTTTTACAAACAGCCAATTTAACTATGCAGCACCGTTTACCTCTATGTTTTTTTTCAGTTGTTTTATCTTTGAAAGTTGAATTTATAGCTATAACTTCAAACCTCATTTAGGTTTCAAGTGTTGTCAACAACTACCAGATTCCCGGTTCATTATTTGTGCTATTGTAGCTGGTTGCCCTCCCGTCACTTTAAATAGCCTCGATCGTAACGGTTTCATTTCTCTAGACAGATGTTTGAAATTGAAACAGCAGTTCAGTCAAACAACAACAACAAAGTAAAGCTGGCTTGCCAAAATGAGCAGCACATGATATCAATAGGCCTACCACCTGAAAGAAACAAGGAACATCTTTCCTTATATACACCCCACATTTCTTTGTGACATGTTTTACTAGTCGGATTCAGTGTTGCATCCTTAAGTAATTATATCTTGGTTTGGGATTTTCAAGATAGTCATTTTTTGTCAGCTAAAATGCTTCCAAAATTCTCAAAATGAAGGGAATACAGAATACAAAGTTTCAAGAGACACAACTTACTTGCAATACACTAGCCGTATGATCTATGCTAACGCCTATCAAGACCTTTCTTGTTGTTGCAGGTGAACCAAATCCAATTACTTTCTCTATGGAAGAGGAGGTAGTGGAGCATCAAAATGTGTCTGCATCCTGCTTTGTGTCTCACTCCTGCCCCGCCTCTCCTGAATTTACCTGGAGTCACCCTGGAGAGGAACAGGTCCAACTTCTTCAGCTTGAAGATGGCCAGTGGAAAACAACATCTAATTTGACCTTTCGAGCTACCAGCGCTGATGACAATAAGTCTTTACAATGCACCGTAACATACAAGGGTGGCCAGAAACAGAACAAATCCAAGTTCCTCAAAGTAAAATGTAAGTCTACATGGCAGTGGCATTAACAAAAGCTGATGCTTCAAACACTGTAGTAAGTCATACTTATTAATACCAAAAAGAAGAAAGATAGGCAGACATGTTAGCGCAATGATATGTCACATACTGGATATAGGATTTTCTTTCCCCATTGTGGAAGCTGTTTTACCAACACACATACATTCAAATACAACAACTTTCAAAGCAACTTAAATCAAGTTCAGCCATGGTCAGAGGATCACAGCCATCATTTATTCATCTGCACTGGGAAAAGAGCATTATGCCATCTCTCACTGTCATTTTATTGGATGAGCTGGCTGCATGATGGATAGCAAATTCTGTCTGTTTTAGTTTATCTCCTATGTGCTCCCAAAAACCTAGTTAATGGCATCATAACATTATTTTGGCAGTTTTCTATTGCTTTTTTAACTATGCGCCAGCGACCTGCATCAATGGATGGCAATGTCAGCCTCTCAGTCTGTCTGTCCACCACTTTGGTCCAGACTGAAATACCTTAACAACTATTGGATGGGTTGCCATGAAATTTTGTACAGATACATGCTCCCCAGAAGATAGAGCCTACTGACTTTTATTCCAGCGCCACCATAACGTTAAAATTTGTGGCTTTGTGTGAAACTCACTTTTGCCTTAGCGCCATTATCCGGTACATCCAATACTTTGGTTTATGACCAAATAACTGCAAACCTAATGGTATTCCAATCAACCTTGGTTGTTATTACTGTTTAGTACTAAATAAGTTAATGTTAGCATGCTAACACTCCAAACTAAGATGGTGAACATGGTAGGCTAAGCATTATAACTGCTAAACATCAGCACTGTCAATAAGAGCATGTTGCAATGTAGCATTTAATAGCTCAAAGCACCACTGTGCATGCCTCACAGAGCAGCTAGCATGTCTGTAGACACTTATGTGCAGTGATGTCAGCTCAGCTTTGTCTTTTTATGTCTGTAAAGACCACCATGGTATAATGAATGATTAATTGTATTTTTCCATGCAGACACCCCTAAGAATGTGAAGGTTGAGTATAAGTCAGATGCAAAGGAGGGAGAAGATGTGAGGCTTAAATGCTCCAGTGATGCTCACCCACCTGTCGACAGTTATGTGTGGTATAATGAAACTGCTGACCGGGTGTATGAAGGAGATATCTACACGCTGCAAAATGTTTCAAGAAACACAGGGGCCCTGTACTGTACTGCCAGCAATGCATTAGGACAAGGCAAATCAAGCTCTGTGCTGATCAATGTGTTATGTAAGTAAACAATCAAAGAATTCTAACGATAAAGGAGAGAGTTTTATCTTAAATATATGCAATATATATATACCCAACTCATACAATTCTTGTCCTTACAGATGCCCCTGACTTTAAGACATCTTCCTGCTCCTCAGAGGCAGATATGGTAAAGTGCGTGTGCACTGTGGAGTCTAGGCCTCCCAGCATGGTTCAGTTTGTGCTTTCTGACAGAGTCCTGCCAATCACCAAGGTAGAGAAACATGACTCTGTTACCATCGGGACTCTGCAGGCAAAGTTGGGATCTTTTGAGTTTGTCTTCTGTCTGGCAAACAACACGCAGGGCAATGCAAACCTCTCGCTCTCTTTACCTGTTGACAGTAAGTTGTTTTTTCCCCCCCTGTAGCCTGTTAGCATGAAATGTATATCGAGAAACAGAAAAATTACCCTATATGATTTCTGTTTGGACAGGTAATATGCAGACTATTGTTATCATCGCTGCTGGAGCAGGCGCGGTTGTGGTGATACTTTTAATAGCTGTGTGTGTAGTTGTTAAAAAAAGGTAAGTTGATGTAGAAAATGTTTGCTGTGATTGAAAGCAAGTAAACAAAATTATGTTTCTCTTTTAATTTTGTGTTCTATAGCAATCTGAATATAATCTTAATGTTGGAAGACATTTGAAGTATTTTTAATACAGTGGTAAACAGACACCACAAAGAAATATTTAAGCCATGCAAAAAGGTATTACTATAGAGTGGGCATCATAGCCTGTGCTCCGTTTTGCAGTTGTTATTATTGGATTTCAGTGGTTGTGAAATGTGCCAATAGTTTTTTTTTCATGGCCACATATTAAAAACCAGTATTCTGCCAGTAGGGGGAGATCTGGAGATGCACCAACACCTCACATGAGCAACATAAAGGCAGACAAAGATGTGGATCTGAAGTATGCTGCAACAACAAGGTTTTAGTTATTCACTTCAGTTTCAATAAAATTTTCCTCATGATGTAACATGACACAAAGAAGTTCATCTGTCTTGAGTGGGTTTATGTGGTAAATTTGGTTTAAAGAAAGTTTGTTTCCTGCATTCTCAGAAAAGAGAAGAACTATGATGACGCGTATTGCCCTGAGGTTTATGCTAATGATCATGTATATGGCAACATGGAGGTATGTCAAGTTGTCCTTATTCACTCATTATTTCCATGCATGAAAGAACCGAATGAGTTAGTCTTGTTTCCTATACAGACTGACGAGGATGACGCAATATACGCCAATGTGTAACATGAACAAGAACAGCGTTGGATTCAGTGGAAGAACAGCTACAGTCCTTATGTGTGTTGTCTAACTGATGTGGATCACGAAAATTGTAAAAATAAATATATACTATATATACTATATAAATATATAAATCTATATAGTATTATTTTTCTGTATCCTGTAATTCACGTATGTTTTTTTTAAAAAAGTAACAACAAAACAAAAATAACTATATACAATGCATTTGTGTTTGCAGTTATTGTTTCTCCAGAATTTTTCCTGACTGCTTGTCTGATATGTGTTGATAAAAAAACATTTATTAAAGTAAATAACAAAACATGCTGCACAACATTCACAAAAGTGTACTTTTTGAAGTTCCTCTTTTGCAGGCATGATTGCATTATCAGAGCAACAGATAAGAACATAGCTGTTGAAGTTTAGAAATACCTATTTCCTGCTGAGTACCAAATAAATTACTGACAAACTTTTCTGTGCACTGCTGTAAAACCAACAGGGTTGCTGTCTCTGTCACAGTAGCACAACACAGATGCATTGAACATAATATTACTTGTCTCACAAAACCGTTGTGTAAGAAAGCTTGTACTGTAAATGTATCTGTGTGTATGGACACATGACAGCAACCCTTACAAGTTCATGCCCCATCACAAGTTGTATTCACTCATTAATCAACTATAACAATGAAAGTGAAAATATTCTGTGTGTGCTCATCAATGTGGAAAACCCCATGTGTGTCATGAAAGTGACACTGCCCGAACATCTGCACAACTTTTGTGTCAGCCTAAGTGTGTTATGTTCAGGAATCTTGAGGCTTAACTTGCAAACTAGCAACAAAGCTGTCTGTGTAGTTTAGACAAAGACAACATTATAACTGTCATGCAGAAGGATTCATTGTAGGACTGTTGTATGTAGTTTTAGTTACATGTATCAAATAAACTGAAAGTAAAAAGAAGCTGCCCCCCTCATGTCCTGGATTGTTGACTACCTGACTGGCAGACCACAGTATGTGCGACTGCAACACTGTGTGGTCAGCAACACCTTTGCCCCGCAGGGAACTGTTCTCCCTCCCTTCCTCTTCACCATCTACACCACAGACTTCAACTACCACACAGAGTCCTGCCATCTTCAGAAGTTTTCTGATGACTCTGCTGTGGTTGGATGTATAAGTAAGGGTGACGAGGCTGAGTACAGAGCTGGGGTGGGGGACTTTGTCACATGGTGTGAACTGAACCATCTGCAGCTCAATGTGACAAAGACAAAAGAGCTGGTTGTGGATCTAAGGAGAGCCAAGGCACTAGTGACCCCTGTTTCCATCCAGGGGGTCCTGGATTTTTTATATTTATACTATTATATTATATACTCTTTATCTATCTACCTTTGACAAGTGCAACTGTGACAAAAGAATTTCCCCTCGGGGATCAATAAAGTATTTCTGATTCTGATTTCTGATTCTGATAACTAAAGAAGGCTTCTGTATTTAATCTGTTTACAAAAAAGTAGAAAGTAGAAGTATAGAGCCACAGCCAGCACATTCTTTATAATTAACCAAATTAATTAAAAATTACATAATAAGCAGCATTTTACTTCACCATTAATGATGCCCCTTTAGCTTAAATCTTAATTTGCTACATTTATCATACATTACCATAGACACAAAAACTGTAATTTTTTAAGCAATCATGAACAATCAATCAATGATTAAAGAGAAATTTCGGGTCTTTCAAATCACATTACACTGTGCAGGGAAATGTTCAGCATGTCTGAACTGACTGATTTGGTAGATTTGTCGGGTAGGGTAATATTTCTCATTCAGCTATCAACAAATAAGCAACTGTAAGACATTCAACTACAGATTTGACACTCTTTGACTTACCCATTCAGAGTGAAAAATGATATTCAGTGCCTGCACTGGGCTCGCATCATATTGTGAGAATGGTGGAGCTCTCTGCCTTCTTCCCCCCTCTGTAGTGCACTGTGCAGTTTAAAGGCGTGTTGAGGTCAACGAATAGAAGGTTAAAGGTCAGGGTTGACACGATTTTCCACTTCCAGTTAGTCAGCCTCTTTGAACGTAGCATGACAATTCCAGAGTGGCTCCAGGAGAATTTAGGAGGAATATATGGGCAAGAGTGGTGCACAAAGCAGGAGGCAGTTACTTTATCGTTCATCTCCACAGACAGAGTTGGAGGCACTGGGTTACCTGCAGAGTTTAAATATGATACCAACATAATACAATGAACAAAATATAATTAACAAAAATGGTTAGTGTATTGATTTAGAAATATTAAAATAATCTATACAATACTCACTTATGACATCTATGGTCACTGAGTTGTTTATGTAGGAGAAGCTTTTGTATTGCGGCATTTCAATCCTGAAGTAGAAAGGGCCGACATCTGTCGTCCTCACACCATCCAGCAGCATGGTGCAGTTGCGTGCTCTGAGTTTTCCCAAAAACTGGGTTCGTTTTTTGTACTCCCCAGGCAGTTTCCATTTGGGGAGATTGGTGGAGATGATCTTATTTCCTTTCTTCCAGAATCCCCTCCAACTGTTCAGGATCTTCTTTGAGGTGCGCCTGGGGTAAGTGTAGGTGCAGGGAATAACCACACAGGAGCCCTGCAGGGCCGGAATCTTTGCAGGTATTTTTGCTGTCCATTGTCCGGGAGGACTGGAGGACTGGATATAATGGATCACTGAAATCAAGAAAGAACAGTGATTTATCTTTAAGTGTAAAATTATGGTTAATTAGTTAATGCAACAGCAATGTAAGACTCACCATGTAACAACAGCAAGGAAAGCCGCAACTTCAGCTTCATCACTGACAAGGAAGAGAAATAAGAAGTAAATAAAAAGGCAATAACACACATGTCAAACTGTGTTGCTGTTATTGTATTTATTTATCTGTATTTTAGTCTTTTCAATGTTTTCATGCTTTTATCTTGTATTGTTTTTGTATTATTCTCTCTTGGGTATTATTGTCTTTACACTTGTTAAAGCACTTTGTAACTTGTTTTTGAAAAGTGCTCTACAAATAAAGATTATTATTATTATTATTATTATTATTATTTTTACACACATACCAATAATTTACTTACCTCTGAGTCCGTTTAATGGCTGAATGAATACCCCTTCACTTCACAGTGCTTGTAAGATTTGTGCATTTCAGTCTTTGGATGTCATATTTATAGTCTGGCTTTTGTTACCAAATGTTTTACAAAGTGTTGAGCTCATTGTGTGTGCTGTTGTTGTTCATACAGCTACAACAGAAGCCAAGGAGTCAGATGCTGTTGAAACATGTGATAACATTCTCATTGTATGTCCTCTGTTTGACTTATCACTTCTGTTACAAAGAATACTTAAACACAGAACACTGAGTTCCAGTAATACTCAAGACATCAAAAGAGAATAGCGTGGTTAAGACATGATTTTTTTTATTCTCAACAAAAGGCCATCAAGTGTACCAATGAGGGCTAACAGAGTCTGCGAGGGAGAAAACCTTTTAGAGATTATAGATGAGTTACAAGATTATGTAATATTTATGTAATTATTATTGACATTACCACATTCAAATGTAGCTTTTAATCACTGTTTTTAAGGGAGATACTACAATGACATTGCCTTATTTTTAAAAAGCCATTTTATGCTCAGTCAAATGAGATCATAAAACATCACCAAGAAGAAATATTTAGCATAGTTAATATTTTAATTAATAGCTGTTCTTGTACTTTGATTACTGGTATTTTGGTTGCAACTCTAACAAGTTTAAATTTTGTATACTTAAAAAAGAAAAATGTACTAAGATCAGTTGGTAAGATTTAGGTGCATGTAAACATAATTTCTAGGAGACAAGGATGCAAACAACACATTTCACATTAGTTTAACAGAAATGCAAGTTAACTTGCTTAAAGTTAACTCAATTTAAAGATCGCCTTTGTTTCAATTCACAAATCCAAGATCATGAAGTTGACATAACTAATGTTCTAGATGTGTCCAGGTTTTTTTTGTTGATTGAACTTTTTGTTGTTTTAACTTCATACTTTGAATTAAAACAAATAATTATTAAACTTTTTCAGTGCAAAAAAACTTCTCTTAACTAGTCTGACATACATTTCTGCATAATTCTAACTCACAGTTTCAAGTTAAAACAACTTAACTACATATATACTGCTTGTCATTTCAATTTCAAATTTATTTCAGTTTACATGCATAAAGGCCCTTTCAAACAGACTACAACAGCAGTGCTGCTGCACTATGAAACCCATTGTTTTCATTGGAGTTTGCCACACCACTGGGAAATTTGTTGCTGTGTTGAGCAACGCACACCACAGTCAAAGTTCTAAATAATTTAACTTTAGCACTGATCCCAGCAGCAATCGCTGGCACATTGCCTCTCATCTGAATGGGCCTTAAGGACGTTATCAGGAACTCTTTCCACTGGTGGCACTAGTCTTTTGTGTCTATATTTTGGTTGGAATTTGAATATATGACTTATCTGCAGTATATAGGGATGTAGTACACCACTATCTTTATGTGCAGGGCTCAACCTGGATGTGGGCTGGACTAACTGGAAATGATTTAAACCTGATATTGGTATGGGTTAATCAGAAGTTGCTGTATTATTTAGAAAACTATTTACAGATCAGACTGAGCTTCAGATCTATGTTTTTTTTTTTTAAATGACCTGTATTTATAGTTTACTAGAAAACAGATATTGACACATTTTACTCCGATGATGCTCGTACTTGTAAAAGGATCTGTACTGGATACTCATTTTAACCGAGTACTCGCTCAACCCTAATAATTTGTTGATTATGTCCATGTTTCTCTCAAACTCAAAAGATGCAGCAGCTAGGCAATTATAAACACCCAATTTTTTTCAACTGATAACATACACAAGTTCAATCAGCATGATAAAAGTTTCAAATAGCCAACACAATGAATTAATGCAAATTTAACTTTTGCAGTTGAGTTTAAAATCTAAAACTTGTCAGAGGTCTTTGAGTTAAAAAGAAGAAGTAAGTTAACATGACTAAATGGGTTTGTAATGTTTTACAGCTTGTTGTTTTACAACATGAGACTCTATAGGAGCAATTGTAAGTTTAGTCTGTCACATGAAATTAATTCCACTGTTGAAATTCCACACTTGGAAACAGAATGAGAGTCACTGGGAACCCTGGGAAGACAGCAGTCTCTCACATATGATGATAAGCTGGTACAAAGTATCCAGGACACTGATACAACAAAGGTTGATAAAATCATATTCCTCAACAAAATCTTGTCATGTGCGTGGTAAAATGTGTGTGATCATTAAATAATTGAACAAAGTACAGCACATTCAGTCATATTATAGTTTTTCTCAATTGCTTGAACACTATAACCAGGCTATTGAACTAAAGGTCAATATTTTCAGCAAGACTGAATGGTTTTTAGTGAAAAGCTTCATTTTGATCTGAAAAAAGGATGTTTGGGGAATTGGGTGAGAAGTTTTGCATTTGTGTTTAGAGTCTCGTGAAAAAGAGGCAAAATTTCAAGAAATGTGTTCAAGCAATTGAGAAAAACTGTAACACAACAACTGATACTTGCATATTGTTGAATTTCCTTACAGTCAGAATAGCTCAGCATGAGTCTGTATCATAGGAATTATTAGAGGTAGTGAGTGCAAGGTACCTCTGCAACTTCTCACCAAAATGGAAGAAAAAAGACAGGTGGCAACACTAACAGCATTACTAACTTCCACTTTATTTACCACATGCGTTTACACAGTTGGTTATTGTTTAGAACATAACTTAAAGTGCAGTGGAAGAGAAGTAAACATTGTAAATCACTAAGGACAAGCGATGACATCCACTTTTAAGCCTTTATTTTTGGTACAGCAGATAAATTAAATGTCACATCACAAGTAATTACTCAATAGGAAACTGAATTAGAAAAGAAAACAGAAGTTTCAGCTCCAGCACAGATGACTCAAGAAGTGAACTGGCAAACACATTGAGAAAGACTGGAAAAAAACACTGTGTATCATTTCACTAAACCCAAAATGTGTCAAGTGAAGATATACAGACTTTGACTCCTCTCTCCATGGGTGCTTTGGCTACATTAGAAGACAACATTAATAAATTCCACAGAAAACACAACTCGCATCATGAGATAAACTTGCAAAACTGATGGGCTACATTCTTGATATCCTTTCCTGTATCACTCAGTGGGGAAGTACAGCACTAACATTGGCATGCTAACATTTTTGAGCCTCAGTGTTTATTGTACTGTAACATATAAGCCCCAAAAAGTAACCATGAAAAGCAAAATAATGAACATTAATTGCAGGTCTGTGAAGGGACACAATCTCTAGTGTCCTGCATAAATGTGAGACATGTTACATGAAACCACCCGACCACCTTGACCATATACATAATCCATACCAGCATGTACCTAAACCATAGATCTGTTTGAGTTTCCATTGTAGAGAGTAAATGCAGGGTTGTTATCCGATAGTATTAGCTGCAGTAAACAAAGGAACACAAGAACAAGGCTTTGTGTTATTTGTTCACGGCATGGGCCTCTTTATTACAAGAAGGAGACAAGCTTTGTTTGAGAAGAGGCTCCAGGCAGCAAGCGTTGTCTTAATCGATGGGATATTTAAAAATGGCAGGTTTGTGAGTCATTTGTTGCGCAAGAAGTGACGATTCCTTTTAACAATCGATGGACTGCAGTGTTTCTAGCTCCACTTTTAAGTTCTAGGACAGTGCGCTGGGTACCTTAACAAAAGGGTAAACGAAATGCATTCTGTATGTAAATTGGAAGAGTTCTTGGTTTCTGGAAACTTTCTCTTCAATCTTTCTGTCCACACTGGCTTTCAAGACATCCCTTCCTAGTATGACTCTATTGTAAGAGATGAGTCTTTCTTGTTGCTTTCCATCTCATTGTGGTCATTTTTAATCTCCTTGTGGTCATGTCATGTCTCTTTCTGGTTTTGTCTCTCTTTGTGGTTGTTTTGTGGTGTGGTTTGATAACTGGGTTGTTCAACATCCCAATCTCTACAAGGCTGCTGTGATGACTACTTACAGGCATGATTTTGTGTGTCTGTGTATCTTTGTGTGTATCTTTCTTAGGGGGAGCTGTGCATCCTTTCATCCTTGTGATTAAATAACACTATTGTCATACATCCTACTGGGCGAAAGGCAGGGTACACTCTGGACAGGTCGCCAGTCCATTGCAGGGCCACACATAGACAAACAACCACTCGCGCTCATACCTAAGGACAATTTAGGGTCACCAATCAACCTAGGCCGCATGTCTTTGGACAGTGGGAGGAAGCCGGAGCACCCGGAGAGAACGCAGACACGGGAAGAACATGCAAACTCCACACAGAAAGGGTTTGAGCCCACGACATTCTTGCTGTGAGGCTAACCACTGCACCACCATGCCGCCCACACACACACAAATAATATATATCATATATATATATGAGCATGTGTGCAAATCAATGCAGATATATCAAATTAATTTTAAAATTAAAATGTTAAAATTAGTGAGGTGCCGCTTTTCCCCTATCTGAATAATCCACATTTGCATATATGTTGTCTGTGTGATCCATTCTTTGATCCATCTGACCTGGAGGGGCCTGCAAAGACAGAAGTTGGGTCTTTAAAAGGTGTCCTCTGGAGTTTTAGACCTCTACTCACAGTATGGAGCAGTTTTTCTATGGGTGGCTCCCCATTTTGTACGTGAGGATGAGCATGCAGGTTGATGCAATATTATTATTATTATAATTTCTGCCAGTGCTGTCTCACCAAGATAATGATCAAGCAAAGGCAATGAAGAAGAAGAAGGATAAAACTACATTCAAAATGTTCTGAATCTGAAAGATAAGCACATCATGTTTTGTTGAGTAACACAGAATGTGACCATAGCTTTTGCTTGTTTTAAGAAAGCTCCACAGGGCACCTTTAAGGTTAGCTTTAGTTGATAAAAGTTATGGGATTTGTCAGAGGGTCTTGTCTTAGTTACCATCTTGTTGGGTTATTAAAACCCAACTGAGTGGGGGTATTGTACCTCAGTGTTGATGTAGACAGGTTCATCAATTGCCTTTGGTTCAGGAAGTTTCTTGTTGTCTTGTTTTTTGCTAAAAGGTTCTCTGAAAAGACAAAAAATACCTGTATGAATTCTAATATAACAGAAGATGTGTTGCAATTCACATGCACGCATCTGGTGTAATAACTATTTTCTCTACCATCAAAAGTCAACTTCAATCTTGTCAATCATGTGTTTAGCGGCTAAACCATTGTGTCATGAAACACACCTTTTGACTTGGTTTGATGATGCTGTGCTAAAATTTGCATAATATCCAGATTCCTGCCTGGTGAATGACTGCGACCTGTGAAAATAGGTTATTTCTATGAGACGTGTTGCTTGTGTTTTGTGTTGACATGATTATGAATCAAATCATGACACAAAACGACACCCTTGTTTTATGCCATATATTTTATACTTCAAATAATTTGTGTAGATATGGGTTACTTTTCCACAAAAAAAGTTTAATTACCTCATTAAAAAATCTCTACTTTACATTTTATAAAACATCTGCAGATTGTTTATGTTAAGAAAACACAAGGATCAGTCATGAAACAAAAGTAATTTTGCTATTTGCAAGCCCCACACTCAATTTACAAATGAGCTAAAAGTGTAGTTACCTTTTGCATTTTATGTAGAGGACAATTCCAGTAACAAAAATAATGATCAAAAGTGCAGCAACTGGTATAAAGATGGCCAGATACATTTGTGATGAATTCATACGCTCTGTGAAGAAAAATTACTTTTCCTGTGAAAAGCCATTTTATTTACAGATGTTGACATATTGAACATTAGTCTGAAACAGTCCTGAGAAACAAACTTTGTACACAACTTACTTTCTGTTGTTTCACTGGTGGATATTGGGCTTGATATTGTGCTTACAGGTGTTATATCTAAAAAAGAAATGAGTTTGTCACAGTTTTCATTATAGTTACATTTTACTCTGTGGTACTTTTTTGTTAGAACTATTGGGGAAACAAAATGCAGCCTTTTAGCAAATTGGGTACAGAAACACATATAAATGTGAAAGAGTAAAAAAAATGTAATGTTATACCTCGGTCAAGAGTTACTGACTCGATACCTGGCAATTTGGGAGAAACGTATGAAGTAGAAATTATTTCCCTTACTCAAGAATATAAACATAATTTGAATCATAATTCAATTGTTTTAATTAAATTCTTACCAATTACAGAAATGGAGACTAAGTTTTTGTTGAAACTGTAGTTGTCATTCTTTCCTATAACTCTCACGTAGATATTTTGCATCCTTTCCATGATCTTCATGATCTTGAGAGAGCAGTTTCCTTTGTCTTTATCTCCAATGAGCATGGTTTTTCCTTTGTACTTGTCAAGCACATATGTGTCATTCGTGTGAAAAATAAATGCATTTTTGTCTTTGTCATTGATATTAAATTTACTTTTCTCAAGTTTTTTCCAGTAAACTTCAACATTGTCAGTGCGTTGTTCGGGCGGATAGGTAAACGTACATGGTATGGTCACGTCTGAGCCCAATGATGTATTTATGTTTCCTGCGACTGAAATATTCCAGGTTTCACCTGTGTTCAAAACCAAACCACAATTTATATTTATTAAAGTGCATACTTCATTAGATACAATTCAAAATAAACACATTAACTCAACACAATAAGTGACCCACCTTTTGTAAAAGAGGCCAGGATCAATATGAGACTGAGATCAATCAAACACGACAGCTTCATCTGATCCAAGAATGACATTCTGGGGTTTAATGACATAATCCTGAAAGAGGAGTAAATCCAGTTAATCTAGTTTGCAGTATCTATCACACCTGGTAGTCTACATACTACATAACCCTGGAGTTAAACCACTTCTATCTTTCTGCTTGAAAGAAATACTCACTGTGAGAGGGACAGAGAGGAAGGTGTAGTACTTTTTCGTGCTTTGTCAATATGTATTAGATCTTAACACTGATGCGAAATTCTTGGGTGTGTTTCCTGTTGCTCAGTGGTGGTGAAATAAATGAAGGAAGTTAGGAGAAAAGTGAACACTTACCACCATATAATTTTCTCATTGAGTTTGAAGGCAAATATTTTACTCGAATCAAGAATCTTGAGGGCAAACAATGAATAGTTAAAAAGGATAATATTTACTTGAAGCTTAAGTGTATTTATACGTCTGAGAATCCCTCTTTACACTTATCAAAATAACAATAGCTCATAAGTGCAAAGCTACAGAGGAAGTCTTTGGGTAATAGTACATGGTGCTCACTCATTCCTTAGTTACCACTCACAATTGTATGAAGGCCTTCCTTATTGTTAAGTGTTACCAGTCTTCAAGTTATCACACATCTATTAGTGTTACATTAGGGTAATTTTGTTTTTGGTTATTTAGTATCATCTAGGATAAGTGTGCTGTGACCTGAGTATAATATTCAGTGGTTCAAAAAAAGGCCTACCAGTGCTGCTTGTTGATGGCATCTCTGCCATCAACATCCTAAATTAATTTAAGGTTTCAGCAGTCTGAGGGAGACAAAAAACAAATTTCAAAGGTATAGTATCTTTCTAAGGTATGCTGTTCTGCAGCTCAGCCTGGAAACAGTGTCTATTACTGCATACACAAAGAATGTCATACTTAAAAGATAGACATCCACTTGATTTGTCCAACTCTAAAGCCTCATATTTGTTTCAGCTGACCTTTAAACTATACTTTTGCTCAAAACAACAACGGTTGATTTTGTCTCCAGCACTCCGTTTAAATTGCCTTAGGAAGGGAAACTTTGCAGCCAGTACAGCCAGAAGGAACAATAACCCTTTTAGTATAGGTTACAGTGGCCTACGTATGGGTATGCTAGTGTTTTTACAAGAAACACTTGTCAGAATATCTTTAAAAGCTTTTTACACAATGTTTTTAATGTACATAGTCTTTTTTTTTTTTTTTAGCCAATAGTTGTTTACACATCCAGCAGTTACATTTACATTTATTCATTTAGCTGACGCTTTTATCCAAAGCGACTTACAATTGCTATACATGTCAGAGGTCGCACACCTCTGGAGCAACTAGGGGTTAAGTGTCTTGGTCAGGGACACAATGGGGGATAGGTCACAGTGGGGGATTGAACCCAGGTCACACCAAAGGCATAGTCTTATCCATTGCATCATCGCCACCCTACTACCCTATAGTCTACAGCTGCTAAGAATCATATGCCTGTTACATTAGTTAAAGGTGGGTCGTGGAAGAACTTAGTCAAGTCCATCCATCCATCCATCCATCCATCGTCAACCGCTTATCCTGCGTACAGGGTTGCGGGGGGCTGGAGCCAGTCCCAGCTTACATTGGGCAAAAGGCAGGGTACACCCTGGACAGGTCGCCAGTCCATTGCAGGGAACTTAGTACATTTTTAAATTTATAAGATGCTATCTCAAAAAGATTTGGGTCTCTTGTTTCCAACTAGTTCAAAATCTAATGAAAAACCCTATCAGATAGATTTGTTTTAGGATACATGTGAAAGTACATTTACTTTATAAGTACTTTACTTGAGTATTTTCTTTTCATGCCACTTTCTAATTCTACTTCTAGATTTCGAGATTGATATTGTATAAAATATGATGTTTTGTTATAAATGACCCAACAGTTTATACAAGCACAGCTGAAACGATTAGTTGGTTGACAGAAAATAAACTGGCATCTAATATGATCATTTAAGTAATTTTTTGTGCAAAAACAGTACATTTTTTCATGTAGCGTTAATAATGTTAAGGTCTGGACTGTTGGTCAGACAAAACAAGGCATTATGAAGGTGTCACTTTGGGCTCTGGGTTACTGTAATGGCGTTTTCTCACTATTTTCAGATTTTTTTTTACAATCAATCAATTTTGTAAAAAATAATAAGAAGAAATATCAGCAGATGAAACTATAATGAAAACAATCCTAACTTGTAGTCCAATATAAAATATTTTAAAATTGTGTGTGGTAGGCTAGTATAAGTACTTTTACTTAAGTAAAGGATCTGAATGCTTCCCTGGTGATGGGATTCAAACTGTACTGGGAAACTTTTGGTGCCAGGTGCTGCTAAATCTAACCACTAGATGGAGTGAGACGTGCTCCCAAAAATCCTATGTGAACTTTGCACTCAAGTCGGGACTCCACCTGGAATGTGGGCCAAACTTGGATCTGAAGGTGCAGTCATATGACTCCCCAGATCGCTGAAAGTGAGTAAATAGGACTGCAAATGGTTCTCTGAAACCAATTCAAGTTTTGTGATCTTGAACGATTGGACCCTGTTGGAAAGAAATCCGTCCCCTCGCTGGTTTCAGCTCCAGATCGCAAAGGGAGATGGGAAGCGACGTGCTGTTCAGGGACAGTTTTTTGTCTGGTGGGGCTCTGTGGATGCGACACGTCAGGCAAGCTCTTCTTTACCTGTCCGTGGTGTGATCACGAATATGGAAGATCTGAATAACAGGAGCCCGCGGGAGACAGCGGGAGAAGAGAGGAGCTCATCGGACTGTCACCAGTCATTTGTCCGCTTCCGAAGGGGAGTAGCAGCGGTCAGCTCTCCTGCTCTGTCCACGGCACGTCTCACCTTACCTGGAATCATGGACGCCGAGGGGAGGGTCGACGAGTCAAGACTGAGGATGCATATTTTCAAAAACGGTACATCTATCTAGAAAATTACATAACAAATGCATCCTTTAGTTAATATTTAGGCATGCTCAAAGGACATGCAATTACATGCTTAGCCTATTCAAGCATCTCTTAATATTCCTAATCACATATTTGCTGTTTTATTTACTGTTGCTTGAAATATAAATATATATGTTCGTCTATTGCTTGACTTTACATAGCCTCATTGTGACAAACTTGACATCTATCCATATGCAAGAACGGTTGCATGCATCAGTATTTATTATTGGCTCAGTTTGAGCTTAATGCAGCAGAAACTAGGCCTAATGATTCTGAGGTCACAAGAGGCCAAACAGAAATCCTAAATAATCCAATAATGCCCATTTAGAAATATAAAGTCTTTGCTAATCCAGGGAAATTCACGTTTGAAAGATTATTATGAAGGTGCATTTCAATCTGTAACAACATCTATGGTTTTCACATTAAACACTGTTTTGATGAAGCCTTATATTATTCTGAACAAAATATAAAAGGCTGAAAGGATTGCAGATGGTGATTTCTATTTATTTGAAAATATAATTCCACCAGCATTTCTTATTATCAGATTAACTGTGACCATTCCTACAGACTAAGATGATGTCAAGTGATTCTTTCCGTCAAGACATAAGCTGAGCCACAATCTAACACTTGATTGTACATCAGACCCCTTCGAGCAAATAACTCCAGCGTGACTACTGGAGATAAAACAACACTTACTTCCATTTAGAGAGTTGGTCAGATTTCTTAGATTCAGAAATAATCACATGAGATTCAGTAAGACCAAAAAAAATGTTATTTCAGAAGTGGCTCGGGGGCATAAATGTGTTAAAGTATCCCCTAAACACAGTCCTTATACGGTCGCTCATCTTAAAATTTTCATCGATCAAATTCCCAAGGTTTCAGCAGCACATTAGACACAGAAACATGAACACAGAGGAGATCTCTGGGGGGATAAAACATCGCTCTGAATCTGTGAGCAGGTATGTGGAAACTCACCCTCCTTTTCCTGTGGCCTGTTGACCTTTATGCACATTCCATCCCTACAAACATGGCAACCAAAGATTAAAGAACCTGCAGAGTAAAACATTACATAAGACATCAGAAATCCTCGTCTGAAATCCTGGGGAAAGCAGGGTAAAGTTCACACAATTTTGAAACAAGCCCTTCTTCTTGCATGTTATCTGTCAGGGTTTGTTTTGATCTGGTGGTGAGAGGTTTGAGTAAATGATAATAGCTGAAATAATCACCGGTGAGTCAGTTATGTTGATAACTGTAAATGATCAAAAGGTAATGTGATCCCTATCCAGGTGGGGTGTCTCCCTCTGAGCGGGGCCTGGTGTGGCGTTTTCTGTTTGGCATGTACCCGTGCAGCTCAACAGCTTTAGAGCGCTCTCTGCTGCAGGAGCAGTTGGTCGTACGTTACCAGGTCATGAAGAGAAAGTGGCAGCAGTTCCTACCTTCAGCTGTGCAGATGCACCTCAACGGCACTGATGGTAAAAACACACTCATGGATGCTCTATGTTAAAGGAGGAAGTCATACGGCTCTCAAATGTGTCAACCTTTACCTTTTAAAACATCTATAACTACATGATCCTATGTCAATTCCAGCTGAGCTGGTGGCAGCCGTCAGGTACTTTGACCAGAGGCAGGCACAGGCCCAGCAACGGACCCAGGATCAGTCTGAGGAGGTCAGGGACAGACTGGCTTTCTTGGAGCTTCAGGCACAGGTTTGACAAGTCAAATATATATTTCACGTCTATATATTTCAGTGTCATCTTTTCTATTTTATATGTACTTCTGTTTGCCTACTGGATTCTTTTTTTGTATTTCTGTACTTCCATTAAATAGATTTTCTTTGGCTTTGTTTGGTTGAAAAGAGAAGATTAACAGTTCGAAGTGGGAGGTGTGAAGTATGTTTAGGGAAGTTACACAACAGGATCTAATTATGTTAAACAAACTACTTATCGTGTATTTACATATGGTATAATTTGATGTCTTTGTACTAACAAGTGTCTTGTCTTGCAATTCCATCTGTAGACATGTGCGCACTAATAGATTTGCTCATTCAGATAGTGATAGTTCACATGCTTCTTTAACAGAATGAAACTCTCAATAAACAACTGACAAAAGCCCATACATTATTATTTCTTACAACAATAATTAAAAAATAAGTGTATTCAAGTTTATGGACTCCAATAAAGACATCAACACTAACATAAGAATCAATAGTGTTAAATTATTTTTGTCTCTACATCTACATCTTGTTCCCAGATATTGTTTGAGCGTGTTTCATTTGATGATGAGGAGCTGCGGGAAGCCACACGAATCATTGACAAAGACGTGCCACGAACTAACAGAGACCTGAGCTATTACCAGTGAGTGATTGTGAGCCATTGTTTTGTTTTATTTGCTATACTTAATAAATGATGCAAGGCAAGAATTCGATTGCTGACCCCTGACATAAAGTTTGTGGGAGTAAAAATCTAGACATTTAGTTTGAAACAGCTTAAAGGGATCACCTCAGTTGACCCAGAAAGGGAACAAAAAGAATTAGACTGTGATTCAGCAGGTTTAATTTGTTGTTATAATACCAAGGGCCACAGTTGACACTCAGTTCACAAGAAACAAGGAATCCTGCCATATCATTGCACAGCACTAAGCTCTGGCATTGTTTTCTCCTGGTTTAGGCTGCAAAGTTTAAGATTATGTAATTTTTTAAATAGAAACTTCATTTTTGTTAATGTTTTGTTTAAATGATTTACAGCCAGCTGTGTACAGAGTATCAGCATTTTCTACTTGTTAACAGAAAGACTCTTGGTCTTTTATTCACCGATGGAAAAACCTGAATTGAAGCTACCAAATGTATTTTGTCTCCTGCCATCCAGAAAAAGTCAGACTGCTTCTCCTAAATACAAGCATGTTAGTACAGTACGGAAATAACATGTCAAATGAAAATAAATAATGGAGAGCTTAATTTTAAATTGCTTGAGTAAGTATCTGCAAATTTGTATCACTTATAGTGCTTAACTGCTCAAATGTAAATGTAAAAGTCAAAGCCATTCAATTACATTTATTTAAGATAATTTAATTAAGTGTTCAAATTAATTCAAATTGTTTTCCTGATGAAAAATAACGATTAATTTTGACCTGCCTTACTCAACATCATTTCCTATAACGTCTTTATGTCAGCGATAAAGCAAACAATTACATATAATAAGTTAAAGTTTCTGCAGAGGTGTTTTTCTAATTCTGCTTGCTTATGTAATTATTTCTGTTTCTGCAGGGGGGAAGGTTCAGGCAATCTGTTGGTGTTGAGAGATATACTCATCACGTATGCTGCTTTTCATCCAGGTAAACAACAAGAATGAGCCCATCTCAGGCTTATCAAAACTAACTAGATAAGACAGTTAAGCGGCTGCATGTTGTGCCGTTAAAGACACTAAATGTTTGACTGTGCACCACTTGATGTGATTGTTGATCCAGAGGTCAGTTATGCCCAAGGAATGAATGACCTGTGCAGCCGGTTCCTGGAGATTCTTGACTCTGAGGTCGACACCTTCTGGAGTTTCTCCTGCTACATGGAGAAATTCTCCAAGGACTTCAGGGCTGATGGTCTGCGCAGAAAAATAGGTGGGATGACCAAAAAGAAATACAACTTTATGTATAAAAATTTTTTCCAAAATATATGTGGTGAAATGAGATTCCCGTTCAAGAGATGCCTTTTGATGATCCACAATGGTTCGGGTGGTCTAATGGTTGTTTGAATGGTGTACTAAATGATTGTTTCAGGTTCTGAGCTAAGCAGTAAACTGCTTTGGCTGACTCTCGCTTCATTTAACGAAATCAAAACCCCAAACAAACAAATATTTCCTGAAATTAAAAGGCCTTTACAAAGACATCAGATGCTAAGATTAAACCAAAACATGCAGTGGTTGAAGACTGGTGTCTTCCACTGTTCTCATTTCACACAGCTGCCTTCATTAAGTGGGTTCCTGAGATGTGAGGTCAGGTGATGCTGTGCACTTGGTTTAACACCAATAAACCACTTGGTGCTGCCAAACTATTTACATTGAAATTAGAAAAAGTAGCACTTGCTAGAAATGGCTCTTTGTTAATAATAAGTTATGAGTTCATCCAAAAAATACTATATAATGATAATGATAAGTATGATAATGTACAGAATTCTGAATATGTCAAGTCTGTATTTTTCCAGTCAGGTGAAGATTGCACTCAGACAAAACCCTATAAAATACAAACAAAATCACATAACACAGGGCGAAAACCAGATGAAAAAAATTAATTAAAATAACATTTGTCCAGAATAAAAGTTTAATTCAGCAGTATAAGCATTTGACAGTGTTTAATGTCTTTTAGAGTTGGAGGCAGCCCTGTTGAAGGAATTGGACCCTCAGCTTTATGCTCATTTGGTCTCAGACAACATGGAGAGCTTCACCTTCTGCCACAGGTAGCTCTGCATAGCTCTTCAGTACTAGGCTGTATTTTGTTGTCCACATCTAAATACATCTTTAAATGTGTTTGTATTCCACATGCAAATATTTTTTGTGTGTGCACATGATGTTTCTCCTTTAAGGTGGCTTCTGCTGGGTTTCCAGAGAGAGTTTGAACACAGTGATGCATTGCGTTTGTTCGAGATCCTGAGTTGTGACCACCTGGAGCTTATCTCCCAACAAGTAGACCGAGCCCGTTATCAGGAAAGGCTCGCACGAAAATGCAGCACAGGTGAAACCCAGCAGTCAAGTTCGCAGAATAAAAAAGGCTGAATGTGGAGGGATGGTTACCTCTGTTAAATGTCTGACATTAATATAGGTATATGTCTTTGCCTTGTGATGTTTGCAGAGGACAATTCAAAGTCAAAGCTGCAGGCCATCAACACTGACTTCACGTTCGAGCTCTTCATCTGTGGAGCCATCCTGCTAGAGAACAGAGACTCTCTGCTGCAGTGCCGAGACGATGTTCAACTCATCCAGTTTACTAGCAGGTTTGTCTGTATGCTAACATGAAAATCTCATCACAAGAAAAGGGACTGTGTATTTGTTAGTGAATGTGTTAAACCTTTGCGTTTTTGTACAGCCTTCAGGGAACACTGGACCTGAACAGCACACTGAAGAAAGCAGAGCATCATTTGTACAACTACTGCAAGCGCTGTGCTTGGGACTATATGAATGGGAGCTGCAGAGCACACAAGAGCAGAGAAGACGACTTTCTCTATCAACTCCAGAGTTTACTTGTTTTAAAGTGATAGCTACTATATAAATAACTGACATCAAAGACTCTTATGAAACTGCAATTTGGAACAGGGGACATACAAGATGATCCCTATTTCGAGTTTTGATGATACATATCACACATCACATCACACATCTTGTTTTTACTTCTGAGGGAAACACAGTGATGTACTGATGCTTACCGTAGGCTTGATCAGCTACTGTTTATTATAAACCGTATGTACAGTAATTATTTTATAAAAGCTGTCCAACACTAACGTTGAGTCATTTTGGTTGCTCTCCTGAAAGTCCAGGAATATGAAAAGCTACCTCAGAATCAGCGCTTTAAAGGATCTGTTTTTCCAGGTTATGCAATATTCAACTGCTAGAAATGCATGTGTGGATACTGAGAGCTGGCATGTCGCAACAGCTGGTGTCTGTAACAAACCGCAGTTATATTTAATGCCAGATGGCCTGTGTGTGTGTCAGACAGGCCTATGTAACAAGAATAGTTTTTTAACTCTGGCAGGGGAACCGTGTAGTAAGGGAAGGAAAACTTACTGCATAACCGTGTCTTAAATAGAGAATGAAATATATACAATATAACCTGAAAAATGAACGACATTGACTTTTATAACTTTGTTCATGCTTTGAATGAAAAACCCATCATTTTATTAAGCAGTGCCTGCAGGTAAAATATAAACTAGGATAAAAAAAGTAAGACAGAATTTGAAATGGTAAATAAATAATAAAGTTCACTACCTCAAAAACACACACAAGTACATGACTTTGTATAACTACATTTAATATTGTAACATTCATGTTAGTTGAACGTCTTGTCGGTCTGCATCATTTGTAGCACAGCTGCTCCAGTCGGTGCATCACACGCAAATGGAGACGCAGCAGGTTAATGTCAGTAGTTAACTATCTAGCTGCTTTAATACACTTAACTTTCCTACCTTCAGAGATTCGTAATTAGCATTTCTTTTACTCTGATGTTAGCTAGCGGAGAGACCACCCTATTAATTTCATTATAACTATGTAATTTCATATTTTATGTAATTGTCAGCTAAGACTGGTGTTTAGGCATGAGCAGTGAAATTGGGGATTAGTTATTGTAGATTAAAATTTTTTCATCAATATAGAGTTTTTCATTTAATTTGAAGTCTTTTGTGAGTCCTTTCACATTACACATGGCATTAATTTTAACTTTGGAATTCCCAAAAATTCCCAATTCCCCAACAATAGTGTTTGTCAGACTACTGCTTAATTGGACGCAGATATCATCCTTCACAGTCTACATGAGCTAGAGGAAAGGAGATAATTGCTAAAAAAAAAAAAGAGTACGTTGAAATTTGAAACTTGATTAGAATGATTAAAAATTATTATTAAAAATTAGGAATTAGAGATAATAATGCAGAAAGTATTTTATGTGTCTTTAGTTCTGTATCAACACTGTGTGGGTTTGTTTTAAGCGGTCATGATTGTCTGCTGTTGTGTGTCTGACTTGCTGGCAGTTTTGCTCTAGAATACTTGGTGACCTCTGACTACAAAAATTGTTTTATGTGGCACTGGTGTAATGAATTTGATTTATCATCATCCACAGACTGATGACATTAGTTAAATAAGGATATTGTAAGCATTGTAAGATTTTAGTTCACTGAAGCCCTTGTCTGGATATTTGTAAGCATTGTAAGATTTTAGTTCACTGAAGCCCTTGTCTGTGCTGTACTGGGTTTTCTTTTGGACCTGGAAAAAAAGTTGACCCCCCCGGTTGTCACTGTATAATTCGCACCCTGACCATGGCAACCCCACAAAACACATTACTGCTAACTATTTGTATCTCTAAAGTGAGCTAACAATGTGAGCTATAAACATCTGTTTAAGACAAAGTGCACACTGATTGTCCACATGATTGCAGAAGTAGGCAAAACAGAATTCAGTTGTGCAGACATGGTCACAATGGTATTTTGAAAAATGTGTAAACTGTGTACTGTTGAATGTTCTAGCACTGTGGGTAAGTGAGCATGTGAACAACATTAGTCATGTTCCAGAACTACTTTGTCCCAACAGAGCAATGCTCACCTGATAGTGAAAGCATGTTTGGTTGAGATACCAAATCAAAGCTGTGTCATTTGACATTTCTAATTTTGCTTTGCTCAACTAGCAGAGGGCAGCAGATGTAACCAGCAAGCTTGCTTTCAAGGAAATCCAGTCAATGAGCAGAAACATGGGCCTAGAACTTTCCTTGGTGGAGTCACCTGACACCCTGATAGGCTCCCTGCACAGTGCTATATACACAGTTGTGTAGAGACACTCGTCCTCTTAGTCCGCCTGCCAGGAGAGGGAAAGGAGTGCTGGAGTCGTGTTGTGTGCTAGGCGAAAACATAGCACCGCTTTAACTCAGTAAACTCTCAAGTCTTGAACGTCTGTCGCCACAAGGTAACCCCTTCTAAAAGAAGCATTGCACTCAGCCTGGTTTCATAGTCTGACTTGCTTGCTGCTTTAAAAAGCTAACCGCCAAATGTGAGAGGTTTTGACAAAAAAGAGAGGCTTGCATGGTTTGTGTCAAACAATGGCAGGGCAAGCTGAAGCAGAATCCCTACAACATATCACACAGTTACCTGACTGTCCAGAAAACTCATTTTAAAGATTAATTTCCATATCACATTACAACCACATCAATTAGATGTGATCTTGCTTCTCCAGAGAAAGCTAGTAAATTGGATCAACTTTACATTGTGGCCATGACAAAATCTAAAAAAAAAGCGCTGCTCCTGTGTTAATCATGTTCCAACAAATTTCTTAAAAACAGCTCATAGCAAGTTTCAGATGAGCAGTGAGGCAACAGCCCTGTCAGCATTTTCTACTCTGTGTTACACAACTGCATAACATGTTAATTCAATAGTTTGTTCTCGCTGAAGCCGTTCCAGGACATTAAAGGAACACAGTTTCCGCTTTCATCCACTATGCATACATGAGAAAAATGATTTCTTCTTAATCCCAACTGTTATGTGTTGTCCTTGTGATTTTATCTGCTTCTAAAAAAAAAGCTGGATTTCATGCCTCAGTCTGTTAGTATTATCAAAACACAGTCCAAAGACGTGTGGTAACAAGAGGCCTTTGTTGAGTTCTTTACTAATTAAATATGTTTGTTACTGCACGTCAAAGCTGTAGTTTTCTGTGTGTATTTTTGTTTTTTAAGCCCTCTGTTAAAATAGGAACCAGGCAAGCTTTGCTCAATTGATAAATTATCTTTAGTTTTAGCCACCTTCCGTTCATTGCCATTTAGATACACTGATACTTATTATAGTAAATGTGAGCTATTTGGAGTCAGCTGTCGGAAAATAGACCCACTGATCACTATTCTAGGATCAGTACATCCTATTTCACCAGCCTGACTGAGACACTGTAGTGTTATGTTGCTGAGGGAGGAATGCAGAGAGGAGCCCTGTGGAGAGGGAATTAAAGAGCAATGTGATAGAGTACAGTAATTTGGTCTCAAGTGTCAGGAGGTGGTTTTAGCCACTATGCCATGCATATCACTCCTCCACTAGCTGAGCCTCACGCAGCCGTGCATCTGGACTTATGGAAAATAACAGGCACAGTCAGTAGGTTTACGTGGTTGTTCCATGTAGGTGTATATATAGACAAGCAAACAAATGCGTGAAGTCCAAGTACAAAACACTCACAATCACAAATATCAGAATGAATGTAAATCCTTTATTCAGTGTTGATGAATACATGTTCTAATCTGGGATTACTGTCCAAAATAAAAAGGTACAATTACTCACACATTTCTTTTATCTAGATGTCTAAAGGACCAGCAGTGGGCATTGATCTGGGCACCACATATTCCTGCGTGGGCATCTTCCAGCATGGCAAAGTGGAGATCATTGCCAATGATCAAGGAAACAGGACCACGCCCAGCTATGTGGCCTTCACAGACACTGAGAGACTGATAGGAGATGCTGCCAAGAACCAGGTGGCCATGAACCCAGCCAACACTGTATTCGGTAAGGACTGCAACACCCATAAGACAACAAGCTGGCTCAGAAACAGTGAACCGAAATTCTTATTCTCATTCTCCTCACTGTGTTTATGATTAATCATTTAGAAGAAAAAAACAATACTATTTGTTAAACTGTATTGACACTGACTTTTTTTTCTCTTAAATCTCCTTTAGATGCTAAACGTCTGATTGGTCGTAAATTTGACGATCCTGTGGTGCAGTCAGACATGAAGCACTGGCCCTTCAAGGTTGTGAATGACTCATCCAAACCCAAGGTGGAGGTTGAATACAAGGGCGAGATCAAGAACTTCTACCCTGAGGAGATTTCCTCAATGGTCCTCACCAAGATGAAGGAGATCTCTGAGGCTTATCTCGGCAAGGTTAATGACCATGAGTGTATAACACCCAAAGAGAAACTTATTTATTTTCAGTAAGCCCCAAAATGTTTGCCCAGAGCTCTAGGGTCAGCAACTTAAATAAAGAAATAGACAGGGAGGACCCCACCCTTTTTTCAAACAATCATCATCAGAACTTGATAATCACATTGATTAATTTTCACAATACTTTTCATTTTTATGGGTAGATGGTCCTTCTGTCTAGTAGTTGCAACACCCCTTTGCCTCAGTTCACAAACAATTCTCCAAATAAGGTAATAAAACATATCATGCAGGTCTCTATAACTCATGTTAGTATAATCATTTAAATTTCCAATTCATAAACACGTCTTAAACAAAACAGATGAACATTCCTTCTCTTACATAATCTTAAATGCATGCACAAATGAAACTCTGTTTTAATGCATCACTCCAAATGAAGAATAGGCCTACATTAAATCAGTTCATGTCAACACTCATTCTATTCTCCTCATCTCTTTCTGACTTTAAAAGGAGAGAAAGGCCTCCCCTGCTCTTGTAGTCACAAAATGAAGATGCTTGTCTCTGCACAACTGTTGATGTCACACTAGCGAATAGTGCCTTCCTTGCTGATCAAAACAATTTTTCAGACATCATCACGGGATACATTTAAAATATGTTATCTAAAAAAACAAGTGTATTAATTAATATTATAAACTCAGATAATATAGATGAAAACTCTTGACCCTCTTCTTATTTTCACACCTCCCCTCATGTGCGCGAAATCTGTCGTCAGTTAGACCTTTTTTATTTCTCTAAAGGGTCGAGTTGCCAGCAAGGGCAGACTTTCAGTTCTTCTTTACTGGACATCAATGTCTAATCTGAAATATGATCATGTACAACTATAGGTCTC